TTTCTGCCACATCTCCAATTAAGCTAATTTCCTTTAATGAAACGGAGCATGGGAGTGATGAGGACACTTGCCAGGTTTTTTTTTTCGTTTTATTTCCCAATCGTTTTTTTGTTTCAAAACATATGTGTTGTAACCTAAGTGTGGCAACTTGTTCAAATGTATGCCAAAGTTAAGGCCACCTGAAGTAAACCATAAAATACATATGTTTTAGATAATAGCAATGTTTTTTTAAAAAAATGCATATTTTATTTGTATGTAAAACTTATGCTGCACTAACATAACACATGTGTGCAGAACAGCTACAACAGGCCTTCCATTGATTTGCATCGGATTTTTTTTGCTTAACAGCCCTTGGGATTTTAGTGAGAAGGGGGAAATGAATTGTGTTTTTAAACCAAATGCAACGGGCGCCTTCCAAGAATTTAAAAGCCTTAGGCATGGGAAATACTTCAGAAAGATAAAATGCCCAAAAAAAGCAAATGTGTATTTATGAGTGTTCTCATGCATGCTCGACGACCATCTGCACTAGTGTGAATGTTACTGTTCTTTTTTTTTAATCTTCAACTCTTTATAAATGGGTTCAACCTTTAACCAAATATACAGAAATGTTTCTTTGCATATTGCAATGTTTGTTGTAGAGTGCCGATGTATTTTTAGTCGTTACATTTTGTCGGTATTTTTTTTCCCCCAAACATTTTTTGGGAAAACCACAAAAAGGTAAGAAAATGTAAATGCAAAAATGTTTTAGTTGTCAGGTGAAAAATGTATAGTCATGACAACAACTAAAACGGCTGTTCACATGGGGGTCGCTGGCATGCTCCAGGTAAGGTATAGGTGAACTTAACCTCTGCTGGAGGAGCTCATCTGGACATTACGAGGAGCTTGTCAGTAACCACCTATGAAGACCCGATTTAATCTCCACATTACGTCTGTAAATGTTGTTTATCCTCTTGAAAAGACCCAATAGGATAACAAACAAAAAATGGTTTGTCATCCGAATTATTGTGCCGTGGTAAAGTTCACCATGAATAAGAAAATCGTGTGAGGTAGACTGATGCGAGTTGGCAGTCGTATTTTATGCTTTTACAGCATCTGCTGTTAAAATAAAGACAAAGCCTTAGTGCGATTTTATCATTGTTGATTGCATGATTGTCAGCAGAGAGTAAGAGTACCATATTCTTGGGTTTTTTCGGTAAAGTCACGGAGGTAAAAAATTAAAATTAATAAAAGTAAAATAAAATAAAAAACACGACGTTTCGGAGGCAACACAAGCTTCCGTCTTGAGGTGTAACCGTCACAGCACGCTTGCTGTATCAATTACTTGAATTATTGTGTATCATTTACTTGATACAGCGAGCGTGCTGTGACGGTTCCACCTGAAGACGGAGGCTTGTGTTGCCTCCGAAACGTCGTGTTTTTTATTTTATTTTTATTTTACTTTTATTAACTACATTTTTTTACCTACGTGACTTTACCGAAAAAACCCAAGAATATGAATCCTTGCAGTCACGAAAGCTTCAAATCTAGAATTAAGAGTACCATGCCGCGTGTCGTTCCGCATAATGCCCGACGTTTCGCTACACGTGTTGGGAGCGAAACGTCGGACAGTTTGCCGGACAACCCAGGGCAGAGGTCGCAAACGGGTTTTGATTCCTTACCCGTACCCGTACCCGATCGCACCAGGGTCGCAAACGGGTACCCGTACCCGGCCGGGTACGGGTAGCCGGGTATCGGGTATGGTACGGGTATCGGGTACCTGATTGCGACCTCTGGGATGAAGCCATGTTGCAAGCGTGGGTGGGTTGATTCTAGGAACTTGAATTGTGAGAAGAGACAAGACGTTCGGAAATGAGTGACAGTTACTCACCAGTGACTCACGGTCTACCCGTACCCGTACCCGGTCGCACCAGGGTCGCAAACGGGTACCCGTACCCGTACCCGGCTGGGTACGGGTAGCCGGGTATCGGGTAGGGTACGGGTATCGGGTACCCGGTTGCGACCTCTGACACAGGGCACAACCTGAAACTTACACATTTAGTACCATGAGCTTGTCACTAGAGGGTTGGCATGGAAAAGTAATACACCTGCACGTAGCTTTGTAGTGGCAACACTATAATGGGAATAAGCAATGTGGAAGGTTTCATCATGAGTGTAATCAGCAATGAAACAGCAATGCCAGATGAGCCCCCCATTTATCCAATCCTATCTCCTGCCGGACCTTATTGTGGCTTATTCTTCCTGACGTGCGCTCTACATGATACCTTCTCCACCCCGTGATTGACGTGCCAATGAACATGCACGTGTTCTGTCTAATTTGATTTAACGATAATAAAATATCTTCTTGATTCTTTCGGTAAAGTCACGTAGAAGGGAAGTAATAAAATAATACAAAATAAAACATAATAAAATAATTCTCACGACAGTTTCGGCCACAACGCAAGCAGCCGTCCTCAGGTGAAGACCAGGTCTGTCATAGACATAGACAAACTCAACATTAAATTATATACTATATTACTATACACCACATAGTGTAATATTACACTATGTATTATTCTATCCACCCTACTGTATATCACACTGCTGTATATTCACTATACAATTACGATACTATATATTGCCTTATACATTGTGTTAAACATTGCAATTTTATACTATTTATTATTATACAATCTGCTATACACTATGCCATTAACCGTCGAGTGAAAGATACTAAGCTTTACATCGAAAGATAATAAAATAATTATTTACAACCCTTTGTCAATCCACTGTTAGTTTGTTGTTGGGGTATGGGGGGAGGGGTTACCATATTTTTACCTTGCTGATCGATGTTTGTTGGTGCTGGTTGGTGTGGTTGGTCGAAGGACGGGGCGGCCCATGACTGATTCTGGTTTCACTCACCGTTGTTGTTGTTGTTGTTAGCTGTGACCAAGAGTTAAACTCAAGTTGCTGGGTTAGTAGTGCAGTGCTGATAGCCCCTGTCCCACTGCCGTACCACTATCTCTATCGAATCATGGGTTGGTGGCACATTGCTGAGCGCACTGCCGTAGCAATCTCCCAACGTGAGTTCAATTCCTGGCCACGGCTACCATCAGTGGCGAGTGATAGCTGAAACTGGTCCCAGGGACCCCTTTCACCAACTCGCACTGACCAGCGTGGTGAAGTATGGTCAAACAACCCCCATGACTGCACTGCATGGATTTTTCGAGCTGTGGATTGACAAGTGGCTGTACATTAATAGAGTTTTAATTATTTATTAATGCGTTTTATGGATCATATTTAATGAAAAAAATGTTAATTGCAATGTCTGCAGTGTCCTTGTTATTGGTTATTTAAATATTCGTATTAACACCTAGATGCATTTAGAAAATGCCAGAAATGATGTTTGCATCGTTTTAGGGAACGTACTACCATGTAAAATATTTGGCCGCTACGATGCCTCGGATTTTCTCGTGATTTGTGAAGCTCTGGCTTCGAACACACGAGACACTCTGCTCGTTTGTCAATCTCCAGCATATTTCCAGTGGGCTATTTGCCTGCTGAGTATCCTGATCCCAGTGTAGCTCCTCTGCTTACGCTGTGGGCGGCGGTAGCTCGTTCTGTTGACATTCCATTTTTTATCTTCTTGGTTCTTTCGGTAAAGTCACGTAGAATGAAAATAATAAAATAATAAAAAAAATTAAACATAATAAAATAATTCTCACGACGTTTCGGCCACAACACAAGCAGCCGTCCTCAGGTGAAGAACAGGTCTGTCGGGAAGACAGCGTCTGAATGAAACACCACCAGGCTTGGAGCGTATATTTAAGCTGGGTTGGAGGGGGAAGAGCGCCTTGACAAAAGAATTTGCATATCAACAGATGAATTTAGCATATTTATGGAAATGCAGATATGGGATTAGTCACTACTTGTGAAATGCGTAGGAGGTGGGTGGGGGGTTTCAAAGTCATATTATGCCCGTGCATTATTTTTTACTCCAAGTTTCATGCTCTCTTTGCAAACGTTAAAGTAGGGGGGGGAGGTGGGGGCGGGGGGAGTGGGGGCTGTGTCCTTAAACAACGGCCCGAAGAGTCAAATCCGACTCGTCAACTCAATAAATGCGGTTTCACGACATCACTCAAATCTGTCAATGCAGCTTTAAATGAAACGTTAATTACCGTCGCAGTCATTTGTGAAGTAAGTTTTAATTAGTCGTCCTGTTCGCACGGCAGGCAGGAGCCACGTGGGGATGCGGGGGGGGGGCAGTGAGCTGTGAGGGATGCGATTGAGGACTTGTGTGCGGTAGAATTTAGTGCGCTCTCGCTACCCCGCATTCTGTACCTGTGCAGCTATCCTTTCAACTTTCATGCGTCTCTTCTGAATACATTTTCATCCCAATTCCTTGTGTCATTATTCTCAATGTACCTTTCATCTCTCTCGTCGTTTTTGTCAATACACCCCATTCCTGTTCTGCTATCCGTGTAGTTATTTAATTGTGATATGTCTGTGACCTGCAGATATCTGCACATTATGCAAAAGGTTTGGACATCCCTGCATTAGAGCATAGTGCAGGGGTGGCGAATCCTTTAAATACTGAGGGTGGGCAACACGTTACCACACACTTGAGTCACTTAGCACTGTCAGTGCACGCAGCCCTTGCAATGCTCCAGATGATTGAGTATACCTTCCTTATAAACACGGCGGTGCTCGGTCAAAAATATTCCTTTCTGCTTGCCGATTAGTGCAACTGAGATGCTTGCAGTGAAGGATTCATATTGTTTGTGGGCCGTTTTCAAGTGGTAGACTTCACGTGGCCTAGAGGCTGTATGAAATGAAGTCACAGACCGTCCTGTAATCTGTTTAAGATCTCCATTCTTGGCATAGTGCAATGCAATCGTTTTTTTTTTACGGCGCATGTTGCCAAAATTATATTACAACATCAATTGTCTGGATGGCGCCGACAACTACGATTAAAAAGCCATTCGGACGAAAGTGCGATCCTGAGCATTTTGCATTTCCCCCAGGGGGTTCGTGACGCTGGGGCAGGTGACCTACGCAATCGAGCCGCTGGAAGGAGCTGGCGACGGGCGCCACCGCATCTACCGCGCCGACCTCTTGCTCGCCCACGGGAGGACGTGCGGGCACGACCTCCTGAACGAGACGCACGCGCGCCACGAGCTCCCCGTCCTGCCGCCGGTCGACTCTCACGGCCACGCCAGGGTGAGGCCGATGTTGAAAGGGGGGCGGGGGGCGGTGGGAGGTGGCTCGGTAGGAGAGCGAGCGCCGAGACGGCACCACCGCCATCCTCCCAAGTTCACATTTGGGCAGCCGCTGCTGCCCCCCGATTGCAACTGGGTTCTTCCGGCACTGAGTTGATCTTCTCGACCCGCTCAACAATGACTGCGACAACAACAAAAATAGCGATCGCATACAATTAGTTAGCTCCTGTGCTCTCTTTGACTGCATTACACCTTTACAAATGTAAGTTATCAGTTTGAGTTTTGCGTGACAATCTCAGAGCGGAGCTTGTGGGAAAGTGTGCCCCCTAATGTGCAATGGATATGAAATGTCACATTAAGCATTCTTTAAAAAAATAGAGTTTCTGTGTAGGAATTGCCTTTTACAGGTCATGCCCAGACAAATGGGACATGCTGTGAGTGTTCTGAATGGATTTTTCACCTCTAGACATGCAACCGATAGCACAACCGGATTAAATTGGGAAAATACAAAAAAAAAGGATATGCCAAAAGGCAGTGCCGGATAAAGGAGTGTTGAAGACCCTGGCAGCTGACCTCTAAAGGCTCTGAACAGCTGATGGCCAATGTAGAAAGCAGTGGACTCATTTTACATTTATCGCTCAGTAAGGGGAGGGGGGGGGGGCATTTCGTTAGGAGGGCTACTGGCAGTTATCATGGGGCCCATAGGAACACCAAAGCCCCTGGAAAGGCACAACGTGTTATTGGGTTAATCCGACTGTGCCAAAAGGTCATTGAGCCTTGATCACGTAATACAGCCCAGCAAGATAAATGGGTACACCACAAGAAGTCGATCGGCAGGTCACATGTGGCGTGGTGAATTGTGGTTACTCTCAACCTCTTCTTCAAAGACATCTTGCCAATGTGGAAGAGTAGGCCAAAGCACCCACTAGAGGGCCTCTCTACAGCTCCCTCTCGTGACAGCCCTTCCACCAGCAACGGTACGAGCGAGAAATTGCAGGGCTGCACCACCTTAACGCAATGTTCTAATTTTGATGTGGTGGGATAGATTACATTTTTAAATCCTTTATATTAAGTTCATTCACTTGCTTGCTTGCACGCTTACGACCATGCAAATCTTTCGGTCGTTTTTTAACCCACTTCCCGTGATCCAATCGAGCTGACATTTTGCACACAGACTCGTTGTGCGTGACAATTTATTTTCTCCAAAATGTTACACTTTTTAGGGAAAAATGTTTTTATATTCAATTACCAATTGCTTAATGGTGGCAGGCAATCATCTGACCCATAAGTGGCAGCCATCTCAAGCCAGAGGACGAGAGGACTCTAGCCGCCCGTTTCAAAGACCAATGTCCTTATATACGACTTTCCTTATATTTAATTTATAATACCAATGTGATAAAAATGAAACTCTTACTCAAGAAAACAGAAATGAATAATAAAATAAAACCGATGCCACGCATATAAAGGATTTATAGTGAAAAACTTAGTTTTTACGGGTTAATTTTACGATGTTGAAGTTGGTTAATCTCTGGAAATCTTGAGAGACTCGTATTCGCGAATAAGGACTGCACGTCGTTCTTGCGTCACTTACATTTGTTCTGTTTTGTTTTTTTGTGAGCCAACTGAAATGTCACATGAATTTTAGTTTGCGGTATGTGAGCGACAGGCCATCAGACTGTTTTTTTTTGTGTTGTTGGTGTTAAAATTAAATGAATTTACATGCATATGTCTTAATATCACAGTCTTTGCACAGATCTTCCTGATAACTTGACATTTCATTAGGACAAAGCCTCTGATAGCCAGCCAAGGATGTAACCTAGATACCCTGTAATCTGCTGATATGATATCATTTTATAAACATATCTGCTTGTATTTTAATGGCTCATGCACTTCTCAGCTCATCTCTTGTGAGGTTTAAAATGCTTTCCTGCCTTATTATAAATGTGTTTTTTATCTACAATTAAACTCGTATAATAAGCCACTCAAAAACATGCATTCTGTGCAGTGGAATTGAATGCATGCCAACTTGGTTCAACTGTTAAATTTGTATTAATGGTTACAATCGGACTAATTTCCATTGAAATGAAATTATACGAGCAGAGGTAATTGCCTGGGCCTTTTAAAGGAGCTTGTATGTTATGGAACTCTGAAATTTACAAAGGCTTTTATATGTTAGTGCCTGGTTGGACAAAGTCAGCTTTTAAATGTGCATCACGTAACAATATTGTTCCCCATTTTATATATAATTCAGCTCAAAAGAAGTGCTTTGAAGAACATGAAGTACGTGGAACTTATCATTGTGGCAGATAATGCCAAGGTAAGCCTTTGGTCATGGTATATTAGACAATTGTTCACAATGCACACTTTGACCAACAAAACAACGTGAAAGAATTCTTCACTTGATGCTCATTAAAATAAGTATTTCATGAGACCATTTTAGATACAAATATGCAAGCAGACAATTCCCTCGGCGCAATATGTGCACGCAGTATTTGTGTGTTTCCAGGTCAAGGTGCTTTCCCAGTTTAAATGAACATTGAAGCATTGCTTGTTCAATATTTACAGCCTTCAGTCAGTGGTAGACATTCAATATTCCTACAGCACAGGGCAACAGGTAACGGCGTCCCCACAAAGTGGTACTCGTTGTATCGACTCTGGAGTGATGATGGGCTGAGTCAATTATAAACGCATATAATTGTATTGTTTGAAAACCAGACTGAAGGTAATGGCAGGAGTACTATGATACATTTTAATTGAACTGGATATGATACGTTTGTTTCGCATTGTAACATTATTCCAATTATTTTTATTTTACAAAAATCAGCTATGTAGGTAATTCGGTGTAAACATAGCATCGTTCAAAATATAAACAGATGTCCGCGTTTTTTTTCAACCGAGGAGTTAGCAAGTGGGCTGTCAAGGTGAAAGAAGAAAATTGAATGTTTTTATGAAGAAAAAAAAGTGACTGCAATTCTTTCTGATTATGTGATCACAGATTGGGGCCATCAATATGCCTGCAGCAACAAAATAAAATGAAAGAAATGCCTGGCCCGTGCCAGAAATCCGACTGACAAGAGTTCCTTTGTTCAACTTGAATTCTTTACTCTTGGGAAATAAGACAGTTTGGCCTTCTATAAGGTACAATTGCAGAGGGATCCAAGAAGGTCAAATGCAGGCTACTGCAGTTCATGAGATATACCAGAAGCAAAGGTAGCACAGCAGCGAAAGCCTGGTCAACAAAGCCCAGGCGGGCTCTTAATAATGCAGAATGTAGCTCAGCCACCTACCGACAGCCTGCCTAATGAGCACGCTGCTAAAATTATGTTGCAGTGGACTTTGAATTTTTTTTTATTTGCAATGCGCTTTCATGCGTTTGTTATTTGAATAGTGCACAATCAGCAGGCTGGATGTTGCACGCAGCTCACTTAAAACAGGCCCCCGCATTGCCGTATTTCACATCGGTGCTCTCCTAAACGAGGATTTAGGAGTGAAATTACATTCCGCACGATGCAGCCAAGCTGCACGGTGGTACATTTTGTTGATACAGGTTCCCCTAGTATTCAATTCAATGTGGTGGCTTCGTTTGAAGCTTTGTCTGCAGTAAATCATACATCACGCACGCGTGCACGTGGGCGGGTGTGTGTAAAAATATCACATTTTGGACGGCTTTATTGTCAATGCAAATGCACATTTTATATTTGTATAAATGGTAGCCAAAGTAGCATCACAATTATTGTAAGAGCAAAGTTTTGCTGCTGTTGTCGTCAGAGTTTTGTTTTGTTCTCCATAATTAGTACAGGCGTGTAAACATTATTGCTCAAGATTATATTAACAAAAGCCGTTACTGTGCAATTACTATGATTAATGTTTTTTTTTAATGCAGCATTTTGTTGTGGGGACTTTCTTTTTCTCTTGCAAATGGGTTGTCACATTAAAGGCAATTTCATTAAGCCCGTAACCTGCCCAGGCTTGCCACACACGTAGCTTTCATTAGTTTATGTTTGTGTTCTTGGCACTTGAAATGCAAACAATGGCATCTCTAATTATGTAGCTGGTGCTGTCTTGGGAAAGGCTACTTCCACAGCTCTATACTTGGCCAGCCCAGGAAAGAAGGAAAAACATTCAAGATATAGAACTAACGATCTCGAGTGTGTTTGCCTGCTACAATGGCATGGCTGTTAAATAATGGAGGCCCTTCTGCAAACAGAAAACTACCACTAAATTGTGCCCCGGTTTCTGATGTATTGGCTGACACGTGGAGGTAACAAACTGTAAGCGCACTGAATTGCAACAGTAATGCAAAGATAATTGTGTCGAAGAAAAATTGCTCCTTAAACAAGAAATATTGTTCTCTTTTAAAGGGTGAATGGAATAAAAACATAAGACTCTGTTAGTTTTGCAAGTGTTTGATTTATTCTTCCTGGCTTTGCTCTGCTCGATAGGGAGACAGTATGGCGCAGGACGTATAAGCTTGCAGACATTCTTTCCTTCATACTTACTCCTCCTGAGGAGATACGTAGGTCAACGTTGTGCAGACATTGGCGCAATGGATTTATTGTACCCACGCTCTTTGCTCTTGTGAGCCGAGTCCATTGTTGTATTTACTCTTTAATATCGTTGAGCTGGGAGGGATTTTTCGATAGTCCCTTTGTGAATTGTTTTTTTGGGAAGTCAGATCTGCCAATGCTCACATTCTACCATGTCCTTTTAGATCGCGAAGCTATAAGCACATGTACGCTCGACTGGAACTGTTGGCAGTAAATAAGTAAATAAATAAAGGGCATCCTTTAGATCCATTAGTGACTCAAATTAATTCATAATGGCTATTATGGCGGGATTTCTTCTCTAAATGTAGCATGTTAAAATGTAGGTTATGGACTATTTACGTTTTAGCGTGTGCACTTCTCTCTAATCTGAAAGTTAGATAAACAATCTCCATTTAGCATTTATTTTACATTTTACATAAAGTAAAATAAATGCAGATTATATACGTGTGTGTATATATGTAAATACGTTTACACGTTTACATTCTGCAATAACTATTCTCACTACTGTAGACTCGATTATTATCGCCAATGCCGGGGAGGATGGCCGTGGATAATCCTAAAATCGCGGATAAACCAGAAAATATAAATTTTCCGCGGATCTCTGTAGCAAAAAAAGAAAAAAAATGATCGGATAAATCACTCAAAATGAAGCACAACTAACGATTTCGATTAAGTGAATCGCAGAGCCACGCCAATCAATCCAACTGTTGTAAAGATATGCAACTACTGTACTGTAGGGGCGATCACGTGGATGTCGGTTCAAGCACGTGGCTTGTAACACACACTTCCAAGAATAACAACGTCTAACTGTTTTTAGATTATTAATTTGGACTCAATGGAAAGCCCACGAGTTATTAATTTGCCAAAATCGAATGTGCGGTGGTTGCAACAATGTGGCACTTTCCTTACACTCCACGCGCCTCTGTCTACACACCTGTATAACCTAAACTATTAACTCAACTATTTTTTATTTCACCAGGTAAAGCCCTCTGAGCTGTATCGCTATTTTTTCAGAAACGACCTGGCACACAAATGATAGCTCAACAAAGTGACTTATTGCGTGGAAATGTATCGCAGCCAAATACTCTGAACGCATTTTTCTAAATGTGGAGGGGAAAATCCGGAGCACCAGGAGAATAATCCACGCGACAATGGGGAGATGGACATGCAAATTCCAATGAAACAGGCGTCAGTGTTGGGATCGAACCCACGGCCTTCTGCATACCAGGCGAGGGAGTTAACAGCCCGGTACAAATGGGTACGCTAAGTCAGTCGCATGTCACGTAGCGTATAGTGAGGTAAAGTGTGGGTACACTCACCTCTACCAAGACATCTGGTCAGTGTGGAAGAATAGGGCTTTCTAGAGCTCCCTTGGGTGGAGGTGCTTCAGCCAGCAGTGGTATGAGCAGGCAATTGTGGGGTTGCACCTTTTATATCTCGTACAAAAATTGCATTCCACGTCGTAAATATATTTTTGCACAAAAAGCCAAACTTAAGATAAAATGCCAAACTTTTCAATGTGCTATCAAATGTGTTATCAGCAATGTTGTTTTTTTAATTGGCAACAGGTTTTTTTTGCTAAGGGTTTATTTTTAACAAGAAATTAGTTTAAACAAACGCAAGCACTGTTGTTGTTGTTGTTTTGCATTTTTCCTTTAGTACAATCGTGAAAACAAAGATCTTACAAGGACCAAGCAGCGGATGATAGATGTGGCCAATCATGTGGACAAGGTGGGTTGGTATATTTTGGTAATATTTATTCTTGCACTGGACACAAGGCTCTGTTTAGCCCTTTATAACCCTATTTCTCCACAATAATCTCATGCTCCCTGTTGTCTCATCCTCAGCAGCTCCTGTGCACTTTTCATTAATTAAGCGAAACTGGAGGGCTTAGCACTGAGCCTTGTCATTTTTTCATTGTACCCTCACACGTGGTGCAAAGCCTTTTTTTTGCGCCATCCTGAAGTATAATCATTATCATCATCCACAGTCTATCTACTGCTGGATTAAGGCTTCCTTAATCAGCCCCCTACCTCTCATTCTGCAATATACTAATTCAAGTGCCTGCACACGAGCCAATTTCATCACTCCGTCTCTTCGGTGGGTGTCCTCTCGGACGCATTTAACTCCTCGGCTGCCATTCCGTCAGCCGAGTGCTCTTTAAATGGGCAATAATTCTGGGAGGGACAGCATAAACACCCAAAGGCCACACGCACCTTATTTGATTTTAGGGTTTTTTCTTTTGTCCCTTCCCTCTCCATTTTCTCCTCTAACCTCTCCCCCATCCCCTGCCTACCCGAGCTTTTCCCTCATTAGGTTTGTGATATTTCCCCTTCCCCGGTTATTCCTCTCCCCATTTACATTTCCATCTTTTCCCCGACGCAGTGTCCTCACTTGGTTGGAGCAGCCGCGGGGGGCGCCCCCCCCCCCCCCCCCACCTTTCATCTCCCTTCCTCCGTATGGTTCAGTGGCGTTGAGACTGTTCCTACGTGAATGGTGATACCCAGTTTTTTTGTGAGCCGCGTTGGCATGCTGTATCGGGCTATAATGATCTTGAAAATTGGCAATGTGGAAGTTTTTAGTCGTGAAACGTGCACCTTAAGGCAAATCAATGGAAAGTGGTGAATGCCACCCCACGTAGTCCTTCAGATTTGTCATTAGAGCTCGTGTATGGCACAATATACCACCTGCCAAAACAAACAAAACATTTAGTGAATACAGCAGGTAAGTGATTCTCATCGGAGCAAGCGTAACCCCTGTGGTAATGGGAAAGGTGATGATTTTTTTTGTTTTAAGAAAATACCCACGTGCAATATAGACTGGTAAGAGATATCGGCGAGTGTCATTTTTCATCTCGACCGACTCTTAATTTTTGTACAGATTGGTAGCCATAAGTCAGTTGGAGGTAACGTCTACCTAATAATGTGAATATGTTTAAACCGTGCTAATAAATTAGCAGAGGTCATTTCCTTAAAGTGCATTTCTCACACGCTTGGATTCACAAGGTGCTCATAAATAAGCATATATTGGCCTCATAAAATATACTGGATTTTAATCTCCTCTCGTTGGGTGTTTTTTTTTTGTCAGTATTACCGCTCGCTGAACATTCGGATTGCGCTGGTTGGAGTGGAGGTGTGGACAGATAGCGACAAGAGTGCGGTGACTGTCGATGCGAGTTCCACGCTCTACGAATTTCTCGACTGGCGCAAGAAGCAGCTGCTCACTCGCAAGAAGCACGACAATGCGCAGCTCGTGACGTAAGTAGCAGGGCGAAGATAAAGATTGCCACTACAGACGCACAGACTGGTGGCGATTGCAATTAGCGAGCACCTGATAAGGGCGGCACAGCACACGACGAGTTGGTGTGGCCAGTGCAATGCCCGACCCGCCTTTGTCTGATCAGTGCTGATGTGTAACACACCGTATCGGGTAGTAATTTGAGGCTAATTCGACTAAGGGGGGAGGCCTAGAGCTGGCTCACACAATTGCTACTAATGTTCAACGTGGCCAGGAATCATACTCGAGCTGTCAGGTGCTTTAGCGCAGTGCACTAACCGCTGTGCCACCACTCTCCAGCAGGGCACACACAACAGGACACCGCTAAGATTCTGCAGACTATCTCAGTGCAGTGTCTCTCGGCAGGGAGTGGGAGGTAGTAAATGCAAAAGATGCTCCCGTTGTGCTGTTAATAGCAGTTGTTTCTCATGACATTTTCCCATCACAATTTAAAGAAATCCCACAGTAGCACAGGTTAGTTACTTATTCTTTGGGTCTTTCGGTAAAGTCACGTAGATGGATCGGTCTGATGATGATCGCTTGTGTTGTGATCGAAACGTCGTAGTTTCTTGTGATTATTTTGTTATTTCCTTTGAACCTATCTTCGTGACTTTACCGAAAGACCAAAAGAATATGAATTCCTGCAGTCACGAAAGCTTTAAGTCGATGTTAGTATTTTATTTGGGTCCACCAAAAACATGGCCGTTTGCCAATGTTGATGTTTGTTTTTTAAGCTGAGAGACATTGTAATTTCGAGCTTCCAGCTAGACTGTAGATTCAACAGATGCCCAGCTCAAAATTGTCCAAGTAAAAAATACATGTTTTTTTAATATAAATTCCTTCAGGCACAACAATATAAAGCACAAATGGGAAATTTCCATAGCCTTGCTTTTTTATATCAACAAAAACGCGGTCTGTTTATTTTCATAATGGTTTTGTTCTTAATTTGGCCCCCAAAATACTTTTCATTAATTTCCATTATCTAACTCTTAAAGCCTTTGGTGTTTAATTTGCATGACTCATTATTCCTGCTTGGCAATTTAAATAAATGTATATTGGCAAAGAAAGGTGTTAATATAGAACACCTAAATTTTATTGCAAATTATAAACACCTTAAGTTACTAATTTGAACTGAATCTATCGTGCATATATTTGAAACTCAAATATCGATGTAAACTTGAATTCTGCATACTTAGTTGACTTCACTGCTTCTTCAAATACTGAATGTAATGTATCAATATCACTTGAAATTCCGAAAATAAAATAATGAAATAAACTATCCTTTGCTCGGTATCTTCACATAAAGATATAAAAAATATCTTATCACACAGAAAAATGTGGTGTAGTGGTTATCAAGTTAGATTCAATCTCCCAGAAAAAAAGTGTAAGTATTTTCAACCCCCCCCCCCCCCCCCCCAGAAATAAAAATGGGTACAGCGTAGTCTAGATTTGAAGCTTTCGTGACTGCAAGGATTCATACTCTTTGGTTTTTTCGGTAAAATCACGTAGGTAAAAAATGAAAACAAAAATTTATTATTCAAATTTTATTAATTTTAGTGAAAAAAAAGCTTCCAGCTGAAGACGGAAGCTTGTGTTGCCTCGGAAACGTCGTGATTTTTTCTTTTACTTTTATTAATTTTAGTTTTAAAATTTTACCTACGTGACTTTACCGAAAAAACCCAAGAATACAGCGTCTTCGTTCGGTAGATTGCACATGGTGGAGTGACGGGCAGGAACTCCAAACCTACTTCTCAGACACCTCGCCAGCACTGACAAGTAGGCTAAATGCCTTGATATAGCGTCTCTCTGTAGCTCATTCTCGTGTAGTTGGAGGCTATTTTGCCAGCAGTGGCACGAGCAGATACATTGTAGGGCCGCACATTTACCTTTGCCACATTTTGCCCACTGCGCTCCACCACGGCGATCAGCGAGTTTTTACATAACACTCCGTAACTGCTAATAACAGAACTGTAACAGACACACATTAAACCCCACAACCATTTTTTCCGAGACATTAAGCAATAACATGCCTCTCTATTGCTTATGTCATTGTTTTGTCATTTCTTTCCCCCCCCTCCCCTTTAACAGAGGAATTTCCTTTCAAGGCACCACCATTGGGATGGCCCCTCTCATGAGCATGTGCAGTGCCGAGCAGTCGGGTGGAGTAAACATGGTGAGAATAATGCCAGGGTGCCCCTGGTTGGTCTCTCTCTCTCACACACACACACACAAAATCAGCGTGCAACATCAGCATTCATCGGCCGAAACCAGAAACATTCAATCTATTCGGATGACTGTGCTGTCAATGTAATGGAGGTTTCTCTTGGAGATTCCTAAAATTGTATCTCCCAAAGCTAAGTCACACTGTACGCTTAAATAATAATTTTACGTTTGTGCCCTCCACATGGAAATGGCAAATTTTCAATGTGATGCGCACTGTGTCATGCGCAATGTGCATGACAGTACCGCTAAAAAAGGGAAACATTTCGTTTAATCAAAAGATATTTAGAAATAGGCATGTGCATACTCGTTTACTTGGCACGCATGATGTAATTGCTGTCGTATTCTGCTTATTATAACTTCCTGGTGTTTTGTCCATCGTCACTGTCGTACTGGGAGTTGTCTTTTTTTATATTCCTCATCAGGAATTTCACGTTTCACCGAAGAAGATAGCGCTTGCGTGTATGCACAACTTTGTATGATGGTCGCTATTTTTACAATTAATTTTGCGAGAGTCGGGTCTAAGGGCTGAAAATAAAATATCTGAAGAATGAGGAAAATGGTTTGTGATCTGGCTGGATCACACATTATTTTGAGTCTGGTTGAATAAAGTGCTTCTTGATCTGCTGTAGAAGTCCTCCTTTGTTTAACCTCACTAAAGCCTCAGGCGCTGATATATGAGGAAGCTCACAGAAGTATATTTGCTGGTTACCTGTTATTTATTCATTTCAGGTTCATGCAAATATCAGCTAATTTAATTTATTCATACCTATACAAATCTAAATGTTCTTCCCTGAAAAAAGAAAGTTTTTTTTTCCCATTGGTGTGAACTATCGAGAAGCGCATATGGTCCAGTAATATGGACACTAACAAAAAAAATCTAACAAAAAACCGAAGAGTGAATGATGAAGTGTGGAGAGATGCAAGCTTTAAATTACACTTTGAGAGAGAGAGAGGAACATATGGCTTGGAGAACATACGTAAGGTTAATTACATCATTAAAACTATTCTCGAAAAGGAAGTGGGTTTGGGCAGGACACGTTGCCGGAACGGATAATGGCAGATGGTGAAGCAAAATGACAGCCGGGGAACGGAACACGTCCCAAATTGCGTCCCGCTGGGAGATACAGCAGTACAATCAACTCGTGTGCGAGCATTGGGTGGATTGTCGCGCGATCGTGAGAGAGATGGTGGCCATGTGGGTAGGTTTTTTTTTATCGAGCAGTGGATTTACCAAGGCTGATAAAAGATTGTCATTAATATTCCAATAACATTTAACCTCCAATAAATGTCTTTTTTTATTATTAATTTGCATTCATTCCATAGTATTTTATCTAACTCTGGAAATGAAACTAAAATAACATGTACATTTCCACACCATTTTTGGTATTGTAAAAAAAAAAGTAACGGTTCAATTGATAATTGGTTCTTTACCCTTCTATCTGGCAACAAAACTGACACCTTTTTGCAAGGAGTCATGTTTGCAGATAGAAGATAGAAGGGTAAAGAACCAATTATCATATTTTTACTGGCAAATGAGGTCCCCATAGTGTAGATGCTTGCCCCGAGCTCTCATACTCTGATGGTGCATTGTCCTTGAGTTGTGCGCCTTTTGGCGTCATCTGGTCCAACCCATATGAGACTAGGCTCGAAGGAAAGCTGTCTCGGGTGTGGACCAATCAACTTCAAGGACAGTGCACATTATCAGAGTTATGTTCTTTTGTTTGTATTATGACTGCAGGTATTGCGGTCTATGCAAACATGACTCCTTGCAAAAAGGTGTCAGTTTTGTTGCCAGATAGAAGGGTAAAGAACCAATTATCATATTTTTACTGGCAAATGAGGTCCCCATAGTGTAGATGCTTGCCCCGAGCTCTCATACTCTGATGGTGCATTGTCCTTGAGTTGTGCGCCTTTTGGCGTCATCTGGTCCAACCCATATGAGACTAGGCTCGAAGGAAAGCTGTCTCGGGTGTGGACCAATCAACTTCAAGGACAGTGCACATTATCAGAGTTATGTTCTTTTGTTTGTATTATGACTGCAGGTATTGCGGTCTATGCAAACATGACTCCTTGCAAAAAGGTGTCAGTTTTGTTGCCAGATAGAAGGGTAAAGAACCAATTATCATATTTTTACTGGCAAATGAGGTCCCCATAGTAACGGTTCAATTATTTATTACTTTATTTCCTCCCTGGCTCCATGTCCCAAGGGAAGAGGTAATGGCACGTGATGTTCATTCAATGAATGTGCAGCTGGGAGGGGCAAGGGGGGCAGTGTGGATCAGCCAGAGTGGTTGGTGGGAATGGGATGTGGTGACATTTAGTAATTTCATAATTTCCAGGATGTGCCAGGGGAGGGGCGGGTGGCGTCCAATGTGATTCTTCACCCAGCTGCTTCCCGTTGTAGCCTATCTTGACACCAAGCTTGGGTACAATACGTGGTTGTTATCACAATTGCCCAGTGTTGCCTGCCAAAGTAAAAAAAAAACAAATGTCTGTTTCCCTTCTTTCTTATGCCTGCAAAAATAAACTCATTGCTCACCTCCAACCCGGGATGACCAGGCTGTCCCAAGGAAACAAACACAATTTCCTTGTGTTTTTTTTTAAGTAATGTCACTCTGCACAAGAGTACGTTACGGCGTTCACGTTGGCACATTTACATCGGCAAAGAAAAATATTGCAAGCAATACAACATTTCCTTTATATGTTAGGTTAACTTTTTAAAGCTTTTGTGAATTCTTTAAAATAAAAAAAAGGTTGAACTAAATTATTCCAGCCATTCTCAATTCTCCACTGGAATAGTAATTTTTGTGCACAGCTTGTCACCTCAGTTCCAAATGTCAAACTTCCCACAAAGAGGGGCATTTTTTATTTTATTTTTGTTTCCTTACCCGCTATTTGACTCTCATCCCAGCCATTCAGAAGCATCCAATGAGCATGCGTATGAACTGATCCACTGAGTCGTGTCTTTGAAAAGTTGAAATAAAGCAAAACTAAGCTCACATCATTCCTATCACAAACACTGGCACACAACAGAGGGAAGACATTAAACGGGCAGCACTTGAGCCAAATTGCACTTTTCGGTCACCAAAGAAAGTGTGAAGCCTATTGCCATGAACATTGTCCTGTTATAAATTTTTATGGCGTGTGAAGCACCATTAATGGCAATCGTGGTGAGTTTATATAAGTGGTAATTTACCACGGCAATCAGAGTGCCTTAAAAAAACACATACATGTGGGTAACATTTGGCACCATAATACAGAGAAGAAAAAGATCCTCCGTTAAAACCGTATTGGTTGCTGGGGCGAGCGCTGTTCACAGAGCGTATGAGGCAATGGTGTGGCCTGGACAACCCCCAGCTACTTTTGTCCCCAATGCTTATGCTTACATGCTGGACTGGCTACTGGAATAGACCCAAGGGAGACCCAAACCATGTTCATATACAACTTTTTCCACGAGTGAATTGTACCCAAGTCACTGGGTTTTCAGTGCAGAACACTAACCACTGCGATATCGCTCCACAATTGTAGTGTCGCACTGTACCATCGCTATCACAGCACAAAAACACCCCTAGAGGATTGTTGAGGCAAGTAATGTTTGCAGGCACCTATTAAGGCCAGCGCTACAATACAGATATATACGTGCCCACAAGATGGCTTATAGATATAGTACACGCTTTCGTCATGAATTATATTCATGTGGCCAATAGCAGCGAATATGTCATCGCCATTTGAAAGAGTGGGTTTTCAAATGTTCACCCTTATTATCCATATAAATAAATGAGTACGGCTAAAGTTTTGCTACCTGAGGTGGCACCAATTAGCACCATAGCCCATGGACTAAGTGACAGTTTAAGAAATTGTAATTTTAACAAATGTCTGAGATTCTTTATCAACATTTTGAAGCGGTGCATATATCTTGAGGACAAAACAATATTTTATTTCATCTTAAGCCTTTTTCTGCTGAAATGTTTTTGAATCCCTGAGTGTATATGTTTTATTTAGGTCGGGTTACAGCCGCCTAGCACGGATAGAGCAGAGGATGTTGAAATAAATAGTGTGCAAAGCTGGAAGCCATAAATCAGATGGACGGCATTGCTTCAGTGATGGGAAAGCTGTGCACAGCCAACGTGGCTGGTCATCCTGTACGTATAGTTTTAAACAAACATCACTCTACCAAAATTTGGCTCTAAATAATCTGAGTTATTTCAATCACTTCACAGAAGCAGGACAAAGAATACATATTCCATGTACCCTCAGATAGTACATTTTAAGCACCCCTGCCTATCGTTTGAACATATTTCCTATTTTATACCGATGCTGTAGATTTTCTGCATGTGTTATTTTTCGGTGTATTTCAGCGTAGCTTGTTTGCAATAGTGGGGCTAGTGGCTTTAAATATAGTGTGAAGCACAACCGAACATATTTAAGTTGCATCTATCATACGTATGCAGCATTGGCATAATTGGTAATGTGCTGTAGTGTCTCAGAGCGTGGTCCAATTTAGCCCAACAGGCTGGATGTTTGTGAACAAAATTGAAACGTGCGGTTTGTTTAAAAGATTTTTACAACAATGAAGGCTAGATTGCATTTGGTCTTATTCATACAGCAATGATCCTATTTTTGCTATCCACTCTTATTTACCTGCACGCTTGGCTGCTTACTAATATTTTACAACGGGAATTTTTACATTTCTTATAATGTGCTCACACGGTGTGTTTATTCTTGCCATTTATGCTGCTGTTGAAAGAGTGACGTGCACTCATGAATATAGATATATTCATTTTATGTTAGCCTTGATTTATCCACTGCAGGTAAAAGGTAGTTGCCATCTCTCAGTCTTTCTATGCAACAACCCCTGTAACTCATGCACACGGTGGCGAGATGTTGACTACCTCGCCTGATATACAGGAGCCATGGGTTCGATCCCAGCCCTGACGCTTGCTGTATATTTGGAGTTTGCACGTTCTCCCCGTGGTCAGGTGGATTTTTCTACAGCTCCTCCGGTTTTTTTCTCCACACTTGGAAACATACATTTATAATATTTGGCTGCTATGCATTTACACATGATAAGCCACTTCGTTAAGCTTTCCTTTGTGGCCAGGTCACTTCTGAAAAAAGCTATATAGATCAGTGGGCCTTACCTGGTAAAATAAAAAAAGATTTTCGTTTAGGATTATATTTAATTGCTCCATCTCTGTCATAGACCTGTTGTCGGGCATCGTCTCTCCTTTGGCTTCCACTCTCATCAGTCTCGTCCATTGCCCATATTCCCTGAGGAAAAGCGAGGTCAAGCGAGTAAATCCCTGATAATCCTAGGCCACGTGGCTGCGATCGTCGAGAAACTGCGGTGGGCCAGGTTTGCACATCCGGGCTCTTCACTGGTGCCTGTTAAACAATCGGGACCCCCACATGGGGGAAATGTTTCGATAGGTTCCCTTGTCCAGACCAGCTGGACCAAGACCTCGCGAACTCACCCCAGCTGGACAGCGCGGTGGATGGGGTGGGGGGCTGGCAGTGTGGCGTCCACCTCGCACTTTTACCAACCGCTCCCGTCTGGACACTTTGGTTGTCCCAGGATGGCAGCTTTGGGTAGAGCTGTCCTTTCGGCTGTGTTTGTCCAATATAACCCTTTGGGTTGGGGAGGGAAAATCGTATTTTTTTCGTTCCCACCTCCAACGAGGCTCTGGGTACGGTTCTAATGTCAATGGAGCATGTCGGTGACTACTGTGTAAACAAACTAGATTTTGGTGCTTGCATTACATCTGGTTTCCATAAGTGGTCACTCAAATTCTCCGCATCCCTGCCCACCGTACCCTTAAAAATAACTTTTCTCACCAAAAAAGGGAGGGTGGGGCGGGGCGGGGTGGGGTGATATCTATCGGACGGTGGTATGCATGGGCTGGTTAGCTATGTGGCATTGAGCCGTGCTGTTGTATGTTCGTGAGAAAATGTTGACTGCTTGTATGTGCTAATAGGGTTTTTCCCCTTTTTTTGGCAACAAAAACTGACACCTTTTGCAAGGAATCATGCTTACATTAACCACAATACATGCAGTCAAATGCTAACAAAAAACAATACTCTGATCATTTATGCATTGTCTTTGAAACTGATTGGTCCACACCAGAGACAGCTTTCTTTAGAGCCTAGTCTCATATGGTGTTCGACCAGATGACGCCAAAAGGCGCACAGTTCAAAGACAACGCACTACCAGAGTAATGAGAGCTCGGGGTGAGCAGCTACATCATGGGACTTCCTTTGCATTTGACTGCAAGTATTGTGGTTAATGTAAGCATGATTCCTTGCAAAAGGTGTCAGTTTTTGTTGCCAAAAAAAGGGGAAAAACCCTATTAGTATATTTTGGTACTGGCAAAGGAGGTCCCATGATTTGCTTGTATGTGGTTTAAGGACCCCGTATCATCACTCACTGTTGTTCGCTCTTCTCTATTTCATACCGCCTCCCCCCAGTCCCCCTCGGTTTAGGGGGGCGGGGAAGGAACACCCGTCTATAAGCACAGATACAAAATTATATAATTATAAATGCAAGTTTGCAATGCAGAAGATAAGTTCCCCGAGTTCCGGGCACTGGAACGGTGTTCTAATGTGCATAATCGGAGCGTGTCAATCACCACTTATTTAACATTATGTGCAATGACGGTAAAATAAATTGGTGGCTTAGAAAAAAACCTCTGCCACCATCATGTATTGTTTTATGAACACCCATCTCCAGAATGTGGGTAGAATTTATTTATTTAAAAATATATTGTGGAACACAAAAATGCTAAACTCTGAACACTTTATTTCCATCCATAATAGAGTTTTTTTTTGGGTTAAATCGCGTAAATATATAAATGTGTTGTTAAAACCCGCCACCACCCGACACAACCAACTAGTAAGGGTTGTCACGTAAACAGAACATGCCAATTCGTCACTAGTACAGAACACCGGTGTGTTGGAGAGCCAAGCCACAACATTTACAATCTGAGTACGACGTGTCGCCAGTAATTACAACTAGCTTCATCAGGCGATGAAGCCAGTTTGTAAATGTTGTGGCTTGGCTCTCCAACACACCGGTGTGCTGTACTAGTGACGAATTGGCCATGTTCTGTTTACGTGACAACCCTTACTAGTTGGCTGTGTTGGGTGGTGGCGGGTTTTAACGACATATTTATATATTTACGAGATCTAACCCAAAAAACCTCTGTTATGGATGATATTGGTCGCGAAAGCCTACGTGTTAAACTTTATTTCCAGTTATCGGTATTATCGATCAAAGTCACCTCGACCTCAGCGCTGCCAATGAGCAATGGTATGCGGTCCTCAAACGCTCATTCTGTTTAATGCGGACTGGCCAAGCAGTATTGTCTTGCTCCGTCCGCTCGCTCAGGACCACGCGGTGAACCCTGTGGGACTGGCGGCCACCATGGCCCACGAGATGGGCCACAACTTCGGCATGAACCACGACACGCCAGAGCGCAAGTGCCACTGCCAAGCCAACTCGGAGCAGGGCGGCTGCATCATGGCACCATCAACCGGGTAAGCCCCACGTGCGAGATTCGACATTCGATGTGGAACGAAGCGCGCGCTCGCATGTATCGTAAACCAGCCAAGGATGAAGGTGCGGCTTTGCAATTGCTTTATTGTGCCGCTGCTGTGAGCAGGGAGCTTCTACTAGAGGGGAGCTCTAGAGCCTCCTCCAAGAGAAGGTATTTTGGCCTCTTCTTCGACACTGGCCAGACAACTTCAAGATGCGGGAGTCCCCCACGGTTCACCCCCACTACGCGCAACCTGCCCATCGACTAACAGTGGGTGGATGGATCGAGGCACGGGGGATCCAAGCAACTTGCATCGTTGTTTGAACCTGCCGCACTGAGAACGAATCGATGGCACGTCCAGTGTGCTAACCGTTACACTACGCTAGTATCCCCAGAAACTTGTGTAAATAACAACGGTAGTCGTATCCATCTATCCATACTCAATCCAGAAATGGATAAATCCCTCCCCTTTGCTATGTTGTTAATAGATCTTGTTTTTAGCATACCTAACCATGCTGGTTAATGCAGGCTGTATGTATGTTGAACTTCTTTCGCACCGTACGTAGGCAACCGTGCTAATCGGAGGTTGGTAGAGAGGTACATGGTGGTGGGAAGGGAAGGGACTAGTTCCGATATCACTTGCCAATGATGTTAGTAGTGGCCAGGAATCAAACTTGAGTCTTTGGGTTCATAGCGAGGCATGCTAAACACAGTGCCACCACTCCACCCGGTACAGCCAGAGTAGAGCAATTTTAAAAAGTAGATTGAGAACCCATCATGTGAGCAAGATTTCCACGAGTCTCTTTGAAACACTTGCTAAATAAAGCACACGACTGTCATGGATGATGTATGACACCTGGTTACTGATAACACTGTGTAACAATAAACTATATATATATTTTTTCCTCCGTAGGAAGTGTTATTTCCTAATTGATTATGCCTCAAAAGTACAGTAAATGGCTATTATTCCCCACAAACTTTGCTTTTGTGGCCAGAACAGTGATATTTTGAAATGTACATATTTTCAGTGAGAAGACGTGTCATTCTTTCATATAAAGTCCTGGTCACAACAGCAAAGTTTGTGGAGAATAATAGACATTTTCTATAGTTTTGAGGCATAAGCAATTAGAAAAAAACACTTACTACCCAGGAACAAAACTCGTGTTACATAGTGTATTCACTCTCTTCATTAGTGTCACTATCGTAAAAAAATATAAAAACTCGAGCAAACTCGAGCTGAACGATTGCATTGAATTCCCTGTGTACATTCCACAAAATACTTTGAAAATATTGCCTACTTTATTTTGCCTTAAATTTAATGCACATCCGATTGTGTGCTGCTTGATTTCCCCTGACGTTTCTCTGAAAACCTCTGGAGTTTTCGCCATGGCTAACATCTGTGGCAAACATATTCCCTCCCCTCCCACTCCCCATGGTGAAGTATGACAGCCCATGTGGTCAACATGCCATGGGTACGCCTTAAACCAGCAGTGGATTAAAACATTGGTAGCTTTTGGATAACCATCTAACAAATACGGTCACTGCATCGTGCACTTTCAGATTCGCTCCTGCGGTCGTCTGGAACGCTCTTTCTTCCGATATTAGAAGCCGCTGGAGCTATGCACTGTTAAATCTAAATTGAAAACTCATTTCTTTATGACATATTTTTGTATTCAATTTGTTGTCCTTCCCCCGGACCTCTGAATAGCACAGAAGTCGTTGTGCAGTACGAATAGGAGTCCAACATACATACATATGAATGGTGTGCATATTGTAAGGTTGTTTGGAATGGGATTGTTCAATGCATGGTCAAGTATGGTTCATAATTATTGCATAAAAATTTACAACCGTGTACATCTCTTTCCACCATGACTACAATGATTTTCTCCTTCTGGTTCAATGAATTGTCACCAATTGGGGTTGCGATGTGAGTCCCCAATGAGTTCTTTATAATAACAATTTGTAGTCTTGTGTTTACTGTTTTGCTTTTTTGATTTGCAGAGTTTTTTTATTTCAATTTTTTTTATATAACAGCCTAAATTTCACATATGTATTTAAATTTCTTGTAAAATCTGTTATAAAAAAACCCACACAGGATCGCCATAAACCAATAATTTGGCAAACATCCTACTAAGGCTTGGGGCTTGTGATGGATTATGTGTATGCTTGAAGATGCTACAGTGTTTATATATAATAACCCAAGCTGCCTCTATTGCTCTAGCTATTTTAATCCGATTTGACCGGGCATACACACGTGGTTACCCGTTCGAATGATTGCCTAAGAATGGCCTTTTTGAACACAATTATTTGAGGCAGTAATCAATCCATTTCATTCTGTTAATCACTCGAGCCTACAACCTTGACACCGTCTGACTCCCTAGCCAGCCTCGGAATGCCCTCCCCCATGCAATGTCGCAAAGGCCATATCACCTTGTCTGTCAAACACGCTTCAAGCACAACCATTACCATGTTTTTTTTTAAGCTGGCTAATCACTCTCTTGGCCAGCGTTCCCCATCTCCCACCACCAATAAACACGGAGAGCTTACATCTGCCAAAAATAACAAATGCTGGAGCTGAATTGCAACCTCCGTCTACGTTAAAAGCGACTTAACTGTACCCTTGTAGTTTATTCGGAGTTATTCCGAGGGTTTCTTTTTTTTACTGTACATTTATACATTCACTGATGGGATGCTTAAATAATGACTCGTATACATGCGTACGTTTTCGCGGTTGTGTCATATACAGTAGTTGAAGTGGGCCGATATATGCGACAGCACGCCATACAGGCATTTGTCAAAATACCGAATGTTTATTTCGGAACTGTTCATAATGGTTCCTATAAATTTGATATTTCTGCAGTGGGGAAATGGCAGTGGACATGGGCTGCAGCACGAATAGGTTTCAAACCGGATATACAGCTCTCCGATTGGCTTACCCGTCCCTATTGGACATATATGAAAAAGAGCGTCATATCTCATCGGATTAATGCAGGATAAATAAAGATTTTGATTCTAAGACGGGTGTTTAGATTGCACTGAGCGCTCCACAAGATGTCTGATGTTTCACGTCGTGTTGCTGGGAACTTTTTTCAGTCCCTGAATATTCACTTGCTGAATATTGAATATTCAATAATTCAAGAAGCTCCCAGCATATGGAGTGAAACGCCAACATATGAAGTACGACCCGACAAATCCCATTGGAGAGCACATCAGTAATGCTTATGCAGCTGGTCCACACTGAAATTTCTCCAAACATCAGCTGGCTATAATGTTGTTATTGTGTCTTTGAAGATGTGTCTGTGTGTGCAAGAATACAGTAGCAGGCATTTGAGAACATTTCATAGCACACAGTTTGAGCCATGCTACATCTGGCAGCGAGACAGACTTCAGGGGTGGTGTGAGCACTGGGTTTGAAGTGTGTTCCTGCATAGGGGAACTGGGATTGTGTTGCCTATCTTCTGACAAGCGCAGCTTCATTGAGTGTTGTGCATTTGAAGGGACAATGAACGCCAGAGGCTTATTTACTCTCAGATTGTAAATATCATGTGACGGTCGTTCCAAGGCTAGATAAATACATTCTTTCTTAGCAATGACCTGTGGTTACATTTTATATTGTGGTTGTAGAGTCGGTACTTGTGGTCTAACGAATGCATTTCCCAGGATTAATAAATAAAATCATTGTTAAGCAGCATTGGAGTTTACTTTCCTGCTGAATGCCCGCTATGATCAAACTTCAGTAGCCGAATAGTTGACTCTCACTGACAAATGAGTAACGATGCTTTAATTCACCTATTTAAAAGCTCATGTTGAGGATATGATAATTAATGACGATAATTTGCCATAGTTTGTCAACACACTTCTGTACGACGGTTCCCCCCAGATTGCTGCTCATGGGAATTGCTTCACGTCACCGTATTGCTCAGTGCTGGTTGTTGAAGACAGGGAACCCAGAAATGGTCCAGGTGTCACTTGCTAATGCCTGGGAATTGAGCTCAGGTCAACAAGTTCACAGCCCATTGTAACTGTGATTTATTTTCAAGAAATGTCCCAGCTGTTCATATTTTCCCAGCACACTGTGCTAAGCACTGCACATCTGCTCGCCAAGTGAATTGTGCCTGGAAGAGTCCCGTTATTTACAAACCGACCAGGTGGCTGGCTCAGCGGTATAGAGAAGTGGCTCGCAGTTGGAAGGTTGCGAGTTCAATCCCTGATTGAGGTATCGCTTCCACTTTGTCCTATGGATAAAGTTGAAGTCAACAATGGTTGTCATATGGATATATGAGTCCTCACTATGGGAATGCAGAATCTACACCAGTTGCTCAAGGCTGTAAATAGGAAATTAGCGCACCGCCCCTATGACTTGACTATTTACATGCTCGGCATATTACATGACAATTACAGCTAATGTAGAGACAACGAGTTTAAATGAGGTGAAAACAAGACCGAATCAGAGGTGGGACAAAGTCATTGTTATGCAAGTCCAAGTCGAGTCTGAAGTCATCAAATTCATGACTCGAGTCTGACTCGAGTCCAAGTCACATGACTCGAGTCCACACCTCAGAGGTGGGACAAAGTCATTGTTATGCAAGTCCAAGTCGAGTCTGAAGTCATCAAATTCATGACTCGAGTCTGACTCGAGTCCAAGTCACATGACTCGAGTCCACATCTCAGAGGTGGGACAAAGTCATTGTTATGCAAGTCCAAGTCGAGTCTGAAGTCATCAAATTCATGACTCGAGTCTGACTCGAGTCCAAGTCACATGACTCGAGTCCACACCTCAGGACCGAATCACTGACTCTTGAATTGAATTACTGCACTGAATTGTCATTGCCCCAGTACGCGTGCAACATTGGACCAATGTTGTGCCAATGTTGGTCCAACGGTTCCAACCACATCTTAACTTATCTTGAATTCTATATAGCGCTTTCGTCAAAGTGCTTTACAAGAATTATAAAATGGTACATGAGTATCGGCTGATGGGGAAAAGGGATGGCGTTCGAG